AGTAGCTTTGCGCGAAATTTCAAAAAACAAACAAACAAAAACATCTTGAGTAGCTTTGCGCGAATACCCAAAGCAAACAAACAAGTAATATTTAGTAGTTGAAAACCGATTATTTTACTTTGGTAAAATTACTCTGGTCTTGCTAAATGAATAAGATGTTCCGCTTACTATTAAGGTTACAAAACATGAATATTTAGGATACACACGCAATAAAAAACATATTGTTTTATGCTTTAATATTGGCTAGGTGCTTAAAAAATTGTGTCAAATACTTTTGCCTGATTATTAACAATTCATCGAGTTCGTTTCCATACAGGGAAGAAAAAATAGAAACTAAATGTACGAATTTATGTATATATGTGTATACAGCTGTCGTAGATAGCTTATATCTATTTTGCAAATAACAGAATAATGTAATGGATTGTGTTCACGTTTTTCTTTTGAAAATGAAAATAATTCTTTGTCTTCTAGGAGCTTGTTTTCAGTGTTTGCTTTGACGGTCGTGGTCTATGTTCGGTAACAATACTTTATCTCCTTTTTGACAATAAGAAAGTCGTTCATATTCTGTCAACAACTATTAATTTATCCTTGAAATTTGCAGGTTAAAAACGCATGTTTCTGATCTAGTTGAATTTGTTTTCTTGTCGAACGTGTTTCTTTATTTCTGACTTAATTTAAAAAAAACAAACATAAACTTGTTTTGGATTTTCTTTGTCTCAACTTTTAGGACATGCGTTGAATAGGGAATATAAGAAATAAAGGGTATTTTATAAATGACAGGTTTGACTGCTTTATTATTCCCAGGACACATCTAGGATATGTATGTATCGTTCCTGAACGAAGAAACTATACAAAAGAGCGATTTCTCAAGACAACAAAAAATATGGTACCCCCCCCCAAAAAAAACAAAAACATATTAGCTGGTGGCGAATCAAAGGGCTTAAGATAGTTAGGCCAAAGAAAATAACTAATGCTTGCAATCCATTACTTGAAAATGTAGGGAAAAATTGGTTTGTGAAATATAAGACCAAATACGTTCAACAAAGACGAAGACTTGTAGAAAATAAGACAGAATAATAGAAGTTTTATGTAAACATAATAGTTCTTTCATACGCAAGAAATGAAACCTCTACTACATGAAATACACTAACATATCTATATCTACTTTTAAAATCAATTAAGCTTTATAATCTATACATTCTCAAGAATAAATTAGAGAACTTGTTTTAAAACATAGTGTCAAAGTTTTTAATATATCCTTGAAATCTCGTAAACAGGCAGAAAATATTTAACAAACGTTATATTTTAGCACAGAAAAATTTCTAAATTGATATTGTATTTTAACACAGGCTGGCAAGAAACTTGTAGATTAAAGAACATATTTTTATAAAGTATGTGAAACACATAATAAACTTCACGTGGTGTATAAAATGTAGTAGCTAAATTAAATCTGTTGAATAGTAAACTGGACACAACTTTTCAATAAATGTAAGACAGGCATATTTTAAATTAGAAGTATATAATAAAGAGTATGACGTGTATATATAGTAAATGAATAATACACCTGAATAAAAAATAGCATCTTCTTGCTTATTATGATATTTAAAAATCTCTTCAGACAAGAAGGCTAAAAAAGAAAAACATCAATTATAAAAACCATAATAAAAGTACAATGGTTATAGACTGATATAAATTGTACAAACCATACCGTCCCTAGATTAACAATAAGCAACTAGAGCGTAAATGAAACTTACAACTAGTGTTGCTTTATTCCCTTTCATTCAGTTTTTTAGTTGTTTTTTATGCGTTGACTGCCAAGACTGGGTCACTTGTAGTGAGAATTAGCTATAATTGTTTGATGTATACTGTTCCGCCCATATAGCCGACTTGTATAACTATACAATGTATTATCTTGCTCATTCGGCGCGCTTCAGTAACCTTAAAAACCTTATACTGTATACTTAACCGGCTTATGTAACCACCACAAGACGCATAATTTTACAACCTGGAGTGACTTATGTTACCCATAAGACACTAACTGGCTTATCTTCCCACAAGACGCTGTTCATATGTTCACAAGTGATGTTGCAAAACGTCTCCGTTTGTATGATTCATGAATGTGGCTAACATATATTTTCAATCCTCCAAAGAATGGCCATTATTAAGCTTCTTTAAATGATTTAGCAATAGATTCATCTAACTTGCATTTTTGGCCAATCTGTGCGAGATCAAACTTTGATTGGTACTTGAATTATGATGTTAGCTTTGTTGAGTGTGAATTTTACTTAAAAAGGAGACACTTTTATTATGTGAAATAACGGGAAAACAGCACTGAGAATATGGCCCACAGAAATACATCACAAAATAATCTTTTACAGCTTTGAACAAAATAACAAGGAAAAAATAGCTATCAATTTAGTAACAAATTTTTGGATGGAACTTTGCATGACAATAAGCATCACAATTTCGTACACATACATAATTATTGTGGGTTACAGAGAGAGATTGCTTATTCTTAAGCACAGATATATATATATAATGGGCTATCTGAGCTGTGCCCACGAAGAATTTCAAAAAATCGTTTCCAGCGCTATAAACAATCAGACTTACCGTTAAGCCACTGTACGGGAGCACAAACGGAGAGAGGGAGTTTTTGATATCATATTAAAATAAAACTAATATCTAAACTATGGAATTTGTGGCTCATCATTAACATAGGATTTAATGCTAGGAATTTTATATTCTACACACTTGACTATCGAATGAAATCATGTGAATTTAATAACAATTAAATTCACTGCCAACCTGAATAGAGCACGTCTATAAGTCTCATTATTGCGTGCTTACTTTTTGCCATTTCCTGTTTTATTACCATTCTTCTCCTAACATACATTACCATATTACTGTTCGTAATGACGTATTTAAATACCTATGTGAGGCATTCAACTCTATCTGTAGTTTATATATGTATATATATTGTTTCTTTTTTGTACAATCTCTACTTCAGCTGTGGTGATCTAATATTTCCGGTTCACGAACTTTGTAGAATAATAAAGCCTCTGAGTTTTGGCGCTACACAGATCCCATCTAACTTTGATATTGAAAGCTGTCACAATAACACCAGAAGGTCATCTTCGGAAAAATGTCGTCTCCCACAAACAGCGGTATTTTAGCTATAACATTTTATATTCTGCATTTCCGTTTTTCTTTTATAAATCCTAATATATCAGTTATCGTCAACATAATCTGTAAATAGAAAAATAAAACTGTATCCGGGAAGATAACAATAGTTTCACAAGAGGGGTGATTTTGAATTAGACCAATGGACAGACTTTCATCTGTTTCTACTGTATATTAATAGTTGTAGATCAAAACGGTTAAAACTCAAACTGTATATAAACTGCATGTGACGGACATAGCATCAAGAAAATTTAGCAGCTGAGTAAGAAGAGTTTCCATCAGGTAAACAGATTGTTATTTCTCTATACATTAATTATATATCCTTCGAAACTATACTCTGAATGTCTTTCCATGTTTAAATGTTTGTCATTTACGACCAGTTTAAGCTATACAACCTAAGTGACCTTTTAATTTACCAGACATTTAAACATCAGTGGAAAAATTATATGAGACGGAATTGGAGGTATGATTTTTAGAATAGCTGGTGTTATCATGCACTGAGTCAACGCTCGTTTATTATCAAATCATGCTTATAGATAATGTATCTTACTTTTTGTTCTAAACATATTCTATGGTAGGTCACAAGTTTCGTGTTTGTTTGAACCCGGTCCTTCGAAATGAGGACTTTTATTTTTAAGTAATGACTTAAAGTACGTGGTTTATATAATAATTTTCTTAGCTAAGCAGTTAAAGTACGTTTGAAGCCAATATAATAACTCGATTATTCACGATCATTTCCGTTAAGGACCCCATTTTAACTGTGTCATAAAGATGAGTGCTTGGTGGTCAATAAGCTCGACTTGCAATCTTTTAGTCATGGGACTTTAAGAATTGTGACGGTCAGTCCCACTATTCTTTGTTAAAGAGTAGTCAAAGCGTTGGCGGTTAGTGCTGTTGACTATCTGCTTTCCCTTTCATCTGTTGCTTTAGAATTAGGGACGGCAAGTGTAGGTAGTTCTTGAGTAGCTTTGCATGAAATTAAACAACAAATAAACACAAAGATGAGTCAGTATGCATGTATTTAAAAACTACTTTTACAAACACTTAATGTGTATATAGAAACAATACCGAAGTAAACTGGACTGAGAAGGAAATGTGAAAGTGTCTAAACCTGTTTGTTTATAAACTTGTGTTTCCTCAATAATGGATCTAACCTTTATATTATATATTACTTTACACAATATTGTGTATTTAACTCACAGTGTGCAGTGAGATATGATTAGGAAAAGCATCCACCAGTTAATTCTCAGTACTACGTTCAGAAGCACATTTTTGTCTTCCTTTTTATGAAAGATGGTGTAATGAGTATTTTTGATGAGTATCTCCAAAAAGATAGCTGAAATTTGTTTCTCAATGTAAACCTTGTTTAAGTATCTCCTAAATGTTTTCTAATATTAACACTACTTTGAGATAATTAAGATGATCATGAAGTTAGCTAGTGGAAGAGATTTAATCTTATGAACATGATGTTTTTTAGGCAAAACAGAATATAAGATGAAGATTGCTATGTTGCTATGTTGTACTATCCTTATTGCGAATATTTCGGCAGAGCTTGCCACTACACCAGGTACGTACAAAGTGTTGGTAACATTAATTATCAAGCATTATTTAAACTATATATATATATATAG